AAATAAATTAAAAAAAAAAAAAAACAAACAAACTGAACCAAAGCATCTTGTGGGATGAAGGCTGGATAAGATTAAAATGCAGTTTAACTGTTATTATACAGAATCATCTAAAAAGTTGCTTTTGACTACTGAAACTATTAAATATTTTGGGCTTTTACACAGCAGTGCCAGCTACCAACAGTACTTCTCATTTTATGATCTCTACCAAACAGACAACGTAGTCAGCCTCTGAAAATATATTAAGAGACAGCAAGATCACTGGAAAATGGCCATCATGTAAAAACAAACTTTTAAAAACCGATAATAATATACTGATCAGACAGTCAACATTCAACCCCTGCCCTTTCCTTAGAATGTCTCTTTTGGCTTCCCAAATATGACAAACATTCTATTATTTTATATCAATGAACATGCTTTGATCACACCTGTTTTTCACTGTGCCACAGTTTAAATTGTGTAAGAGGACATTTGATGAGCTATAGTTATCAAATCCAGTATTTGTATTGTTTGGCCTTAGGCTGGCTTCTTCTTCTGATATTTTCTCTGAACACAACAGATTGCTTCTGAGATCTCTCTTTATCTTCCCATTTGCCCAGCTTTCTTCTTATTGGTGGCTGAGGCAGTTTGAATAGATATGGATCCCACAGACTCATGTGTCTGAATGTTTATTTCATAGGGAGTAGCAATATTAGGAGGTGTGGCCCTGTTGAAATAGGTGTGGCCTTGTTGGAAGAAGTGTGTTACTGTGGAAATGGGCTTTGAGGTCTCTTGTATGCACATAGTATGCCCAGTGTGGCACAGTCTCCTTATGATGCCCACAGATCAAGATGAAGAACTCTCATCTACCTCTCTAGCAACATGTCTGCCTGCATGCCACCATTTTCTCCACCATAAAGATAATGGACTAAACCTCTGAACCATAAGCCAGCCCCAATTAAATGTTTTCCTTTATAAGAGTTGCTATGGTCATGGTGTCTCTTCACAGCAATAGAAACCCAAACTAAGACATTGGTAGATAATGTAAAGCTTATCATCATTTTTTCATGTTCTATTTTAATTCTTTAATTATTGTTTATAATCTACAAACCTGTCAATAAAATAGGAATGGATATTTCCTAAATATGAAAATTCAATTGATTAAATCACATAATCCACCAATATATTTCCATCTTAAAACCAACCTTATTTTCTTTCTTTTTCTCATACATTACATCCCTAAAGCAGTTATCCCTCCCCCGACTCCTCCCATTCCTCCCCACCTCGCCTCTCCCCTAGATCCATCCCTCCTGTTTCTCTATGAATGAAGATCAGGCCTCCCAGGGATATCTACTGAATACGACATAACAAGATACAATAAGGCTAGCCACAAACCCCCATATCAAGGCTGGTCAAGGCAATCCATTAGCAGGAAAAGGGTTCCAGACACCCTGACTGTTAGCAATCCCACAGACACCCAGCTATAGAACAGAAACAAACATGCAGAGGATCTATCTCAGACCCATGCAGGGTCTAGATTGTTGCTTCAGTCTCTGGATCCCCTATGAGCCCTGCTTTGTTGTGGGCTGTGTTCTTGTGGTGTCTTCAAACCTTCTGGCTCCTATAGTCTTTCCTCCTCCTCTACTGCAGGGTTCCCCTGGCTAAGTCATATAGACATTGCCTCTGAAATGTTCCTCTGATCCATTTCCTTTTTTCGTGTCTCATTGCTACCATCTTCACTGTTTCCTTGTTATACATATTTCACAAGAGTACCTGATGCTTCTTCCCATAATATGTAATTTCTTTTCAATAAAGCTCTGATGTCATAGACAGTTTTCTAGAAGTCAAATTATAGGTCTGGGTGGTAGGGGCAGTGCATGCCTTTAATCCCAGCACTTGGGAGACAGAGACAGGTGGATCTTTGTGAGTTTGAGGACAAACCTGGACTACGGAGTGAGTTCCAAGATAGACAAACAAAACAAAAAAGTTAAGCTTATTTATTTATTCAAATGAGTAGAGAATGAACTTATCCAAAGGGAATACATTCCTACCTACCCACACAAATAATTAATTTGGCTACATTTCTGTATATGAGTGGATAGAAATATAGAATGACTGTCATGCATCTGAGATAACTTTTTTAAAAGTTGTGAGATTATAATTACAACATTTATCCTTCCCACTTCTTCCTTCCAAACCTTACCATCTATTCCTTCTCGCCATCTCCTCTTTCAAACTCCTGGCCTGTTTTTCCTTCATTGTTATCCCATGCACACATGTATATGCATATACATATATTTCTAAATATAATCTGCTCAGTCCATATAATGCCACTTGTATATATGATTCCAGGGTTGGCCATTTGGTACCAGATAACCAGTTAGTGTGCACTTCCCCGGGGAAGACTATTTGTCCTGCTCCCAGAATTCCTCAGTTGCCTGCAGTTCTTGTGTGGGGCTTTTCCTTTCCATTTTGTCATGTCCACTGACATCATCCTTGTTCAGCTCATATTTAGTCAATAATATGGTAAGACATTATGATGCAGCTTCTGACATTACTAAGAGACATAATTTTAGAGCAAACTCCCTGATCTTATAGCTCTCATATCTTAACTTCAACTCTTCTACAATGTACCCTGAGCCTCAGGAGCTGAAGTGCTTTGTAGGTGTATTCGCTGGGACAGGGCTCCAAAACTCTGCATTTTGATTAGCGGTGGTTTTCTGTAGAAGTCTCCTTTGTTGCAAAAAGAAGCTTCCTTGATGAGGAATGAAGACTACACTTATTTGTGGATTTAATGACAAATATTTATAGATTGTTGTTAATGATTATCCTAGTTTACTAAAGTAATGGGTATAGATTTTTTCCAATATTCATAACTCACATTCATAATTAATAACTGAGTAGTTAGCTAGGTTTCCAGTACCAGACATTGTTTCTATCCTGTTAAGATGGTCTTAAATTCAATTAGGAAGCTGGTGGTTACACTAAGGTTATCATGTTACTATTGCTCCTGTTCTGGGGTCTCTGGGACCTCTTTCTGACATGCATGGGGTGTTCAACAATAGGGACTTACCTTCAATCTTTAAAGGTCAACCAAGGGCAACAGCCCCTTGGAAAACTCTGGCCAACAATTCAAACGAGGGCGTCTTGTGTATTGGGTTTTTTAGTTAGGTGGTCTTTGGATCTGGAAGGGAGCATTGTCAGACCAGATGAGAAATTTTCATTAAATCTATACATGATTATTAATACACTGGATTGCATGCATTATAGGTTTTTCTTTAGGTAGTTAATAGTATGGTCCTTTTTCTCTTTTCCAGTATGTTTACCCTCCTTTTTGGCATTTTACCCTCCTCCCTTCTTAATGTATATACCTTCTTATCCCTCCCTAAAATGCACCCCTTTCCCATTTAACCTAAAATGCACCCCTTTCCCATTTAACCTATCAGATCACTTGTACCCTGCCATTTCCTTTACCTTCCTCTTATCTTCTGTATTTACTCCCTCCCTCTCTCTTAGAAGCCACCCTTTTGCATATCCCTGATCAGATTACTTGATATCTGTTAGTCCTCTCTCTATTGTTCCCCAACTCCCCATCCTTTCAATGGTCCTATTTTACATTCTTGGTTTCTGTAGTTACTACAAGGTACAAGAACCTCCGATGAGAGAAAGCATGGGAGGTTTATCTATCATGGGTGTGGGCTACCTTATTCAATATGATATTTTTTAGTTCCATCCATTTACCTGCAAAGTTCATGATTTCACTTTTCTTTACAACTGAGTACTATTGGAGGGCAGGTTGTCTACAATAGGCCCTTACCTTCCCGGGTTTACCTCAGCCTATTGTTTTGCATGTACTTGTTTAGTTGAAGCACAATACGGAATGTGTCTTCTGATATAACTGTACTTGTTCAGTATGTTTTGTAGCATTTATTCCAGACCTTATCATCTGTCACAACACTATTTCTATGTCATGCTATAACAGATATATGGTAGTGTGTAGGATTGCTTTAAAATTTTGCATCTCTCTCTCTCTCTCTCTCTCTATATATATATATATATATATATATATATCTTCTTCATTTTAAGTCTGTAGCTCTATGTAGCCTTTCTCAGTATTTAAACCTGTTTTTGTAATTTAGACTGTTGGTTTGATTTTGATAACTTTTCTGGATTTTAACCTTCAGTGGGGTAGAAAATGACCAATATACATTTGTATGTCACTTGAAGGACAGTTGAGTATTTATTAGAACCATACTTTATTGAATAAAGTGTGGCTACCTGGGAGAGTTTAAAACAAAATCAAAGTTTTAGCACAACTTAATATCTTTCAGATTATAATCTATTCCATTTGAGCCAAGCTTTATTTTAGTTACATTCTCCTGCATGCTGTATGAAATTAATTGACTGGTAATGACTGAATGGAGTTCAGTCAATATCAATTTCTCATTGACACCTTTCATGGTCTACACGTTCTCTACTTATTTTGGTTAAGTGAAAACATTTGGAATTGTAGTATGAACACACATAGCTTCCATTCACTGTTGAAAGGAAAGTAACAGGAATTATACTAAGACTGGGTTGGCCGACAGTCAAAGCTCAAAGTTAGCGCTCCTCTGCCATTTAGGGGCTTGACAAACTTCATTTTCCCCCTTTATAAAGAAGCCGTAATTTATCAGCTTTGATGAGGGGGAGTGCTAGGACCACGCGTTTCGAAAGTGAACGACACAAGTACAATTAAGGAGCCCCAGTGCCCCAAAACATAACAGAAGCTGAACTGGCAAACGGCTCCATCCCACCAACCCAGGAAGAAGGGAGCCCTGGAGGAGGCGGGTTTGCTGTGCTGTGGCAACATCCCACCCCACCCTAGTGCTCGCTGCTGATTGGCGGACGGGCTGAGAGCACCGCCCCCAGCGCGTGTCCCGCCGCGCGGTGGGTGTGCCCCAGTGGGCGTGAGCGTGCGCGCTGCAGACGGAGGACCGGAAAGGGGGCGGGGCTGCTGCTGCGGCGGCAGCGGCGGTGCGCGCTCCCGGGTCGTGCGCACCGGGTGCGCGGGTGGGAGGGACTGGTGTGTTCTGCCGGCCGTGGGAAGCGGAGCCTGGGGACAGCTGTCGGGACACAGGGCGGGCCCCCCACCGAGGGAAGGTCGTCACGATGAACACCGTCCTGTCGCGCGCGAACTCGCTGTTCGCCTTCTCGCTGAGCGTGATGGCGGCGCTCACCTTCGGCTGCTTCATCACCACGGCCTTCAAAGACAGGAGCGTCCCGGTGAGGCTGCACGTCTCGCGGATCATGCTGTGAGTGCCGCGGCCGGGCGGGGCTGCCCGGGGTGGGGTGGGGTGAGGCTGTGTGCGCGGGCCCCGGTGGCCTTCGGAGCCCTAGCTCTGCCTGCGCGGTCGGCTCCCCGGTGGCCTGGGTCAGCTCTCCCCTGTCCTTCCTGTTCTTCACGATCCTCACCCACCCTGGCCAATGAGCGAGCAACACACCAGCACACCCACGCCTGCGCTTCCGCCCGGCCCCGCCCGGCCTGCGAGCGCACGTGGGGTCTGCAGTGTCAGCCCCACCGGCCCAGGCCGGGCTGCCCTGGCCCTTGCTCGACTGAGGCTGAAGCGGCTCAGTGGGTAGCTCCGGCGTCACGTCCCTGCACGCTTGATTCTTTTTTTGACAGTCCCTTTACAGGCTCTGCCCTTGCACACCAATGCCTGGAAGTTAGCATGTAAATGTGGGCAGGGTGAGCAGGGGCGGTTGGAACACCCTAGCCTGTGAATACAGCCCTTTGCTGTTGTTTCTGCTGCCATTCTGTTAGCCAGCAACCTGGATCATCAGTCTTTAGAAACAAAAAATAAAGTTTCAGAGTGACTGCTCTCCACGTCCTGCTTCTTTTATTTATGACATTTCCCGCAGGTTTCTATCACTTTTGCATTTAGTACAGCGTTTTTAATTCTTTGTTGCTCTGTGAGGTTTTCAATAATTTCTTCTTTAGCCTTAGGGTTTTTTTTTTTTTTTTTGGTCAGTATCACAACAAATGCCCCCCCCCCCCCATTGACTACTGCAATGGCTGCTTCTTTTGATTTCTCATTTATCTTATATTGGTTTTTTTTTAGCTACTGTTGACAGTTTAAACATATATGGCTTAGATACCATTACTTTCAGTTCCATGAGGGTCTAGATGAAGTTAAGCGAATTAAATGTTAATGTGATCCTAAATGTCTTTCTTGCCCGTGTATTTGTTTACTTTTGTTGAAAGCAAAGAAAGTAACTGAAAATATTTTGTACGGATGTAAGATAGTTGTGGGAAATACATGGTGGCTCTGACATATGGTACAGTATCGTAAACATACTCTTGTTTTCCAGATGACCTTGTGGCCACTGGCAGCCCTCCTTCACTGGTTTTACCTGCTCTCCATGAAGTATTTGTGTTCTCCTTTTAATTTTCTTATCCTCCCTTGAATTTTCTCATGGCAAGTGAAAATAGCTGACTACCTTCTTTTATATGGAGTTATAATATTTACTTATTTTCACACTTACTGTTTTCTTTATTCATTTCCTTGTGAAATTTCTGTTTTACTGATGCACACATCTAGCCCTTGCTGGTTTAAGTTGTGTAAATTTTGTGTGATACCATGAGGGATGGTGAAACTTTTATGTTTACTTCCAGAAAAAATGTAGAAGACTTCACTGGCCCTAGAGAAAGAAGTGACCTGGGATTCATCACATTTGATATAACTGCTGATATCCTTGAACAAAAATACTTCATTGCTTTTTCAGTAGTTTTGAAATGAGATGCAAGTGTAGAAGTTAGAGGAAGAGTGAGTATGAATGTTGACTACCACAGCCTGTTATTTTCATCAGTAAAACAGTGTTGATATTTGTTTATTTACACTTTAAGAAAACCACGGGACTCCTGAGTTGATTGTATGAACGTATCTTAATTTTTCATGTAAATATTAGTTTGAATCTAGGAAAGAAAAGATAAAAGATCGTTTTGGTTAAAGAAGAAAAAATTCACCAGAACTCAGCCTGCCTAGAAATAGACCATTTTCAGTCCCACATAAGTCTCCATCTCCTATAGAGAACACACACACACACACACACACACACACACACACCCACACACACCATGAGTAGCTGGGCAGTGGTGGCATACTCCTTCAATCCTAGCACTTGGAGGCAAAGGCAAGCAATCTTGAGTTCCAGGCCAGCCTGATACACAGAATGAGTTCCAGGACAGCCAGAGCTGATAACAGAGAAGCCCAGTCTTGAAAAACCAAACAACAAAATAAAACCACATATGTTTAAAAAGAACTTGCATCTGTGGTGGTTCAGAAGGCCTTTTATCAAAGTGAGAGTGCTGCATTGTGTGAGCATTTGTTATCTTTAGAGTCAGAGAATTCTTAATGAAGACTTACTGTAAGTTAGGATGAGTTGTTTCCTCTGTATCTCCAGTTTCTGTCTTCAGCAGCTGATCATCTTGGCAACTTTAATCTTCCTTAGGCCACAGATTAGAGTCCTGGAAGTGTATTATTATTATTAGCATATGTTTGACAGTTTTACCTTCTGTTCATCCTGAAAATATTTGCAGTTTTTATGAAACAAATTATTGGATTCAGATAGAATCCAATTCAGTTAGATGCCAATAATCCCAGCACCACAGAGGGAGAGGAAGGATTGAGGATCAGAACTCCAAGGGCATTCTTGACTACTGTTTTTATTGATTACCAATCTTATAGTTTGTACAGATTTTCTTTTGTAAAGAACTACTGTAGACCCCTCATTTCTGAATAATAACTCATAGTGGGTGTACCTTGAAACTAGATTATAATAAGCCTGTTGCTATCAGTATGTATATACACATAATAAAATTAATAATTCACATATAATACTTAATAATCCCTGTGAAATAGCTCATTTCTCAGTTGTGGCATAATAGTGTAGTTCAGTCTAGTGAGTACACCTCTCCATGATGACTAGAGCCATGTTAATGTTTCTTACCTCCTGTCGAAGAATCCCACACAATGAGACATCAAGATTTATACTTGTATAGGATGCTGTTTTTGGTTAATTACCTGAGCTCTGTGCATATGTGTCTGTTGCTTCTTTGAATAGTGACAATTGGTTCTGCTTTAGACAGAATTAAAGCTTCAGTTTCTTACATTTCTTTTTTAAATAAATGTATCAGCGAGTTATATTTACAGGAGCAGGGAGGATGGTAACCTGTCTTGATACACACCCCTTTCCAAATGTGCTAGACCTTACAATATATTTATCCTGTGTTTTTCTCTTAAATAAGTGATTAGGTACTTTTCTGGACTACCCATTGTATTTAGTTTTAATGTTCATATTGTTATTGATGTTTTAAGAATAAGATCTGTTTGAAAGATCTGTGTGCTGCTTTGCAATCTTTAGAGTCCTTAATTTGTTTACATCTAGAGAATATATTTGATTGGAATGTTAAGCAGTTATTTCTTTATTTGTCAGCAGAGTATTCAACAAAAAATAATGTAAGTATCTAAGTATATTATAACTTAAACATTATTTCTTATGAAAGAATATAATTTAAAAAATTACCTGTTAGAATTTGCCATTCTAGAGCCTTCATCTAGTAGCTGATGGAAGCAGAAGCAGGCACCCACAGCTAAATACTAGATCAACTCCTGGAGTTCAGTTACAGAGAGGGATGAGTGAGGAGCAAAGGGGGTCAAGACCAGGCTGGAGAAACCCACAGAATCAGCTGACCTGAACAAGGGGGGGGGGGAGCTCATGCACCTCATTCTGATAGCTGGGAAACCAGCATAGGACTTTCCCAGACCCCTTCAACATAGGTGTTTGTTAGCAAGGCTGGGCAGTGTATGGGGCCTTTGGTAGTGGATCAATATTTATATTCTTAGTATACGAATCGACTTTGGGAGCCCATTCCATATAGAGGGATACTTTCTTAGCCTAGACACATGGGCCCTGCCCCAAATGATATGATAGACTTTGAAGATTGCCTATGGAAGGCCTCACCTTCCCTGGGGAGCAGGATGGGGATGGGCTGGATGAGGGAACTGGGATTGACATGTAAAACAAGCTTGTTTCAAATTTAAATAAAAAAATGAAAAAAAAATAACCTATGTCAAAAAAAAAAAAAAAAATACAGTTCTCTCCTACCTTAAGGATTCAAGGATGAGCCTTCTTACTGGCCCAAGAATATCAATTTTTATATATGTAAAGTATCTGACCTGTGTAGCTTAGGTAAAACAAATGAAGTTTGGGGAGACATGGCTCTGGTAAGAAAGCTTTCTCTCCCTTGCCTCTTGATCCTGTGAGGCATTGTAGGATCCAGAAAGATGGGCATGCTACCTCACAGCAGAGTATTGTTTGACTGCCTTAGCTTTTCTTGTACCACTACTGAAAGCACCAAATTGAGATGCATAGAAACAAAAGTACTGCTTCATTTGTGGTTTTGCCAAAGTAGTTCTGTGTTTTCCATCAGTGTAGGTAGTTAATTTGTAATTATAAGTGGGTCTACATTATTATTTATTGACCTATATTGGTTTACAGCATTATATAGTAATTTTGGCACTGCAGTTAATTATTGGGAGTATGTGTTTTATGCTGGCTATTTCACTGAGCATCAGGATACCTGGGGAGAACTTTAAAACAACAAAATATATTTTAAAGATAGCAGGAAAAGCTCTCCTTCAAAATGAGTTTTGATCTCTGCATATCAAGATCATCAAAATGTATTTGAAAAATAGGAAAAGCTGTGCTTCAAAGTAAGAGTAATTACTGCACATAACACTATTCAGTGTGTATCAAAAAAACTACAAGGATCAGTGTTAATTTTATGAGTATATTTAAACTGTATAATTCTGGGACCTCAGCAAATCCAGTAAGATAGCACTAATTTGGAATTAAATCCCCGCTTTGGTGAGTAATGGATATATTTCTATTCATTCATCAAGCTCTTTGCTTACCTAGACTTTGAATTTGAAATGATAATGTTTCTGATGGGTTATCTAAGTGACTTTTAATTTGACATAGGCTCTGAACCAAGTGGTCCTTTGGGATAAGATCGTTTTGAGAGGTGATAATCCAAAGCTGCTTTTGAAAGATATGAAGACAAAGTATTTTTTCTTCGATGATGGAAATGGCCTCAAGTGAGTGATTCTTTGTCATTTTTAACATTTTTCAGTAAGATTGGTAGGAAAAAGATGAACTGTATTTTTATTTTAAAGAGGTGTATGTGTAAAAATAGTTCAGTGGTAGAGCTCTTGCTTGGTGTGCACAGAATCTGCTTCACACCCCAGTCAGGAAAAAAAGGAAGAGGTTAAAGCTAGGGCTTTATCAGTAAAGCTGTTTGGGAGGGAAGTGTTGATGTGTTTTGAGCTCAGCTGAAAGACTGAGAAAAGACAAAAATTGGCATCTGGTATAGTAATCATTTCTCTAGTATTACTAAATGCAGTCATCACAGTAAAAGTCCATAGCTTTTATATTTGCTTGCTATAACTATGATAAAACACCATGAACAAATCAACTGGAGAAAAAAAGGCTTTATTTGGTTTACAGGTTACAGTTCATCGCCAAGGGCAAGAACTGAAACAGAGACTGTGGAGGAATGCTATTTGCTAGCTTCCTCAGTTTGCTTTCTTACACACCCCAGGACTACCCTCCCTGGGAATAGTTTCATGGCAATCATTCATACTAAAAAGCCCCTCCCAAGCTTACCTACCTGCCCATCTGATGGGAGTCCTCATTGAGATTCCCTCTTCTGAGATGACTGTATCTTATGGTGTGTTGACAGAAAACTAACACGTGCAGTAGCTTTTACTGTTGGGTGTGCAGGGACACAGGCTTTCTTAGGAGTGGTAGGATCGCCACTGTAAAGGTCTGCTTTCTGAACTCAGTCAGGACAGCCTACATGAGGAAACAAACAGTGTGCTAGATCGAAGACAGATAGCTAAGTTTCTAGTTTTGCTTCTCTAATTTTTTTTTCCCTGAAGTTTCAGTTTGGTCAAAATCTCAGGTCATGTTGACCTTTTTATAGTTTATAAGAAAGGGTTTAGGAAAAGAGCCATTTTGAACATGATTGATTTTGATCTGCTAGAGTTTGCACTTCTAAAGAATAGCAAAATTAGATTTCAAATTCTTACCATCTGATTTCTAGCATCAGTCTCATTTTCTCTTCCTCATGTTTTAGTCCTGTGATTTTGTTGATAATTAATTGTGGCTGTGAGTTCAGGTCGTTTGTTTAGGCTGCCTGTGAATTTAATGCTGTTGTTTTTCTAGTGTTGTCTGTGAATGTAAAATGGTCTGAGGAAATTGTTTTGTGTTTGTCTATTAGAAATAGCTAGTTATAAATGAAGTGTGTGGCCCCATAGTACTTGATTGGATTTATTTTTACTAAATGAAAAGTTCTGCTAACCTTTGTTTATGACATCTTTTCATAGGGGAAACAGCAATGTCACCTTGACGCTGTCTTGGAATGTCGTACCAAATGCAGGAATTCTACCTCTGGTGACAGGATCAGGACATGTGTCTGTCCCATTTCCAGATACATATGAAATAACGAAGAGTTACTAACTTATTCTGAATTTGGAACATATTTTTATATGTGATGAATTGCATTTCATCTCTCCCCTGTATCATTTGTTTTTGGTTATATATTTCCTTTTCTTTCTGTTTGGTATAAGACATAGTAGATGTGAAAGGTCATGGGCTGCTTTAAGCTTAGATTTGCAAACAAAACAAAAGATTGCCAGAGAGGAGGAGTATAAGAATGAGGCCACTGCATAGGAAGAACTTGTAAGCAGGGTAGTATTGACGCACCTCTTTTATTTGCATTGTCTTATCGAATATAAAATGAGCATAAAGGGCTGTTAAACTTCTAGATGTCTATAGAGTCATAAGAATCTGAATATTTGTTTTGCATTCGTGCAAGTTGACAGTGATTGTGACTTACATAAGAACACTGTCTTTTAGTGTATGTTAGATTACAGGGGACATTAATGTGGATCTTCGAAGTCTGGTTTACAAAAGAGCAGAGTGGTAAAGTTTTATTCCATTTGTTTTAGAAATCCTTATAGTCCTTGTCTTTCTTAGGTGAATAGTAGCTTTCTCCAAAGACCAAGAACCTCTTTGTAGTTCTACAATCTTGCAGGTTCATTTTAAAGTCTCAACTCAACCACATTGTCTTTTAGTGTTTCCATAATGCTCCTTTGAATATCTCTGTATAAATTTTAAGCTTTGCCTTTGAAAGTTGAAAATGTTGTTTGCATGGATTGCCTTCTGGAACTGGATTTATTCCTCTGAACATGACTCTGCAATTAGCTATAGTTTTCTTAGCTCCATATTTTAATAGTTGGAACAGTAACAACATTTGTGGTATGTTTTCCCCTCTACAAAATTCTCTCATTTGTTTGAATGTTGACTTGTATAGTCCTAATGAGGTAGATGGTACAAATGTTAGCTCTTTGCAGGTGAAGAAACTGAAACCCCAGAAACTTAACAACTTCCACCTAAATTGGAAAGCAAGTGGTAGAGTTCTCTGATACCTCAGTTTACATGTTAACCCCATTCACCTAATTTTATTGTAGTTTTTGTTATTTTGCATTCCATCTAGGAGTGATAGCATGTGAAACTAATTTCAGCAGCCAGCAACGTAAACAATGATATTTTTGTCTGTGACTATTCATTTTTACCCATATTAAAACTATTTGGGTTTGTAAAATAAATTTAGAGATTAAATATGTTATGTATAATTAAATATATAATTATATTTGACATGAAAAAAATTTTTTTTGCATTGATTAGCACCCTCAGAGTTACCAGCTGCAAATTGGCTACTCTTAAATCCATGTACAGACACTAGACTCTGTAGGTCCACCCAGCAGTAACCTAAAAGGGCTCTTTTCTAGCATAGCATAAATCAATTAGCATTTGTTCTCTTTACCTCATGTGAAGTATATCACTGTTTATTGGCATTCATTTCAACAGCTCTTGTATGGAGGTGCGGTTCTTACAAGTGCATGCACATGAGGTTTTTTAACGCAGCCATGAGATCAGAGGTACAGCCCAAGTTTGGTACTAGCAGTTTGATTAAACATTTCAGGCTGTCTGTATCCTTGTCTATAAAATGATTCTTTACTCCGATACAAATCTGAAGTGTTTTCTGTTCAGCAGATCATGAACAGGAAATAATGTTGGTCATCTGAAGTCGGAGTTGATGGAAAGATTATAGTTCTTAATTATCTGAGCTTCTACATTTTACACCTACAAAGTTGAGCTTTGAACAGATACTAGATGTGCAAAATCTACAAGTGTCAAAGGTGAGAATATCTGAGTGTGTCCTGGTTAAGGAAGCTATGAGCAAACCTCTAGCATTAAAGCCAGACCTCGGGTCCTTTAATAGTTCACTATATTTTGTAATGAGTGTGTCTGTTAGTCTAGCACAGACAAACTAAAACTGAAGGTTTCTAGAATTACCATTTATTTGAAAAGCCCAGTTTTAGGAGTTTGGTAAGGAAAACCAGGAGCAGATGGCGCAATGTGACAAAGGTTTTTGAACTAATGGAGCTGCTTAGACTATGGCTGCTTCAGCCTGCCATTAGCCCTGTTTCTCAGGAACTTAGTTTCCTGTGTGCACAACTTTATCAGTTTGTAATAGTTCTCCACCTTACAAACTTGGTATGCTTGATAAGTATCTCTGGTATCTGTTTTAGAGAAGTCTGATCAGTGGGTCAAGTCTGAGCCCAGACATGACTCTGGGAGAAGAGGATAATTCAAGGTACTTAGAGTGATTGCAGTTAGAAATGAACTTTAAAATGTATTGCTCAGGATATCCCTTTCAGTCTCACTTAGAAACATCTTCGCCTGTGTGCTTCATGCCCATTCATTGTATTTAGTGCCCTTATGCTAAGGAAAATAACAGCATCAGAAACTATTAAGAATCTAATGGGAAAATTGGTTGGTTTGAATGTCTTTTCTGGTAGTTATCTTACAGCTCTTCAGTGGTCTGGCTAGCCAGTTCTCTGTGTGAAGTGGGTTTTAAGAATCTAAAGCTTTGGATGGGGCTGGGACAGGCTAGTGGAGGGTTTCTTTGTAACACTTTGAATTACCATGCAGCAGATGTACAGAGCAGACTTTGTAGCTGTGACCTTTGTAAGCAAACATCTGTATTTCAAAAGCTTTCTTGGCTTTCTGTAGCAAGCCTATGTACCTTTCTGTGAGACTGCCAATGGGTCAAGATGTAATTTTAAAAGTTATTCCATAGTTTTTACGCAACTTGGGAAGTTGTTTACTTAAAAAATAAATTCACAAGAAAATAATCCATAAAAATGCCAAATATATATGTGAAGATTTTCTTAATTACAATAAATATTCAATGTTTTTGTAATAAAATGAGTTTTTTTTTTTTTCTGAGTGGTTTAAAGATGTCCATACATATGTGTTTTTGTGAAGCTGCTAAACTTAAAGGAAATCCAGTTGTAGTAGACATTAGGTTTTAGGAAGAAGTCTGCAGCTGTGCTTTAGGGGTTCATTAAACCCAGGGTGTACCTGGGACTGTGTACTGCTGTACTAGATGTAAGTTCTTTGAGGGCATGCTGTCAGCTCTGCTCTTGTATCTTGCCCAGCACCTAGCACAGTGTCCAGCAGATGATAGGCAAGCTCCCCACAATATTGATGATGAAGTGCTGGGTGTGATGTGACCAGCCATGGGGACTGCCTGTTGACTATCTCCTTTGTGAACACTGTCCTGTTTATTCTCTCATTCCTGATTTCTCTCTTCAAGCTCAGTTGGACTGTCCAATAAAGGTAAATGGTGGTGTTGCTCCATGCTCTGTCACTGCCTTCTCCAGGTTTTCATAGTGAGAGAACGGAGAGTGGCTGTGACAAGAGCAGTTAATGAAACAGTACAAAACTCAACAGACTGAAGTAAAACACTCAATTGCATTTTAAGCATAGCCCTGCCTGAAGAAATGAGTCCCACGGAACAGCTATTTGAAAACCCAGTGTATTTCCTGAGCTTTCCTTGGGCATTTGACCCAGTTGATAGCCCTGAACCTACTGAGTTGTGGAAATTGTCCATTCTTAACAGAAGAATTTTTCAGAAGGAAACACCTATCAGCGAACTTAAAGAAACAAAATCAAATCTCTGAATCAAAATAAAATCACATGAATTTAGTCTTCCATTGGGGATCCTCCTCCCCCAGTACTAGAGTTTAAAGATTTATTGATTTGTTATGTTTAGAGTGCCTGCATGCCAGAAGAGGACACTAGATCTCATTATAGATGGTTGTGAGCCACCATGTGGTTGCTGGGAATTGAACTCAGGACCTCTGGGAAAGAGCATCCTGTGCTCTTAACCTTGGAGCCATCTTCCTAAGATCAGAGAACAGAGCCTGGGGTGCAGCTGTGGCCACTCACACACAGTGGCAGGAAGTGCTCTCTTCTGGCAAGAGGAAATGAAACCATTGGTAACTGACACTGAAACCTAACTGAAGGGTTAATGAGTTAAACAGCACCTGTAGTTGGGGTGGTAAGATTGTTTTCCAACAAGCAAAGCAAAGGAAACTGCAGATCTGTCACATCCTTCCTAACATCAAGCTAAGGTTTGAGCACTGTACTTCTGCCATATGTTCTCCCAAACTGGAGTTACTGTTTCTAAGAAGAAAATGTGTGCTGGGAAAGAAAAGAAGGTTTGGGACTGGGGTTTCTCTCCCATCCCAAGAGCCCCATGCCGGAACATCTTTGCTCTTTAGAAGTTTTGCCTCTTTGTCCTCTTAGCTTTGCCCTGGAAAAGCAAAGTGTGAAAGCAAAACTTCTCTTTTCAGTACTATTGCCTGATGTGTGAGCGCTGCTTGCCCCTTTAGTGCAGGTACTTTAGTGTGAATATATGTAAAGACAGCACCTTTGAGCTCTCTCCCTGTACCGCTCACTTACCTGTGGGCACCTGGAAGTAGGCATTTTGGAGCTGACAACAGGTGCTGATTAAAATTAAACATTTGGGACACAAAATACATGTCATGCCTGTGCCTCATGCATATACCCTTTTGGAGGTCTGGAATGGCCATATCTCTCCTAGCTGATGACTTAATACAAAGACTGGGAAGGGGCTTACTGACCATAGTGAAGAGGAGGATTCTGAGGTGCAGTGTGGATCTGGCATAGCTTTGGTGTGGTGGGAACTGGATCCTGAGGACTCTTCCCAATGTCTGTCTCCTAGGTCAATTGGAGCACTAGAGTGGTCCACTGCTTTGGTGGCTCCTACTTCCTAGAGATAACCTGAACTGCCACCTCTATCAGGTGTGCATGAATGTGTTTTCCAGTGAACTAAGCCATCTGATTCTATTCAGTATTGGAGAGCCCAGTTAGCATTGAGTTCACACAAAGCCCATAAAAGACAACTGCAAAATCTCTCTAGCTTAATGAATTTATTTTTACTCATGTAGCAGCTGTTGGAGTTGTTAGGGGATCCTTCAGCCATGTGTGGTGGAAGGGCTCAGGTGCCTTCTGGGTTTGGGGACTGTCACCTGAGGATTCATGTTCTTTCACTTCAAACCCCCATGGATTTGAATTAATTGGGTAAGGTTTCAAAAAAAAAAAAAGAAAGAAAGAAAGAAAGAAAGAAAGAAAAAAAAGTCACCAGTTCGGCTTGGCCTCTAGGGGTACACCGTCAGTCATCATATTCCATGGGTAAAGGGATTACACAGCCTAGCCCAGTATTGCTGCAAGGGGCATGTGAGAAAGAGTTCTCAGCTGGGCAATCATTTCTCAGAAACAACTGTACCTCAAGCAAGAAGCCTGACTCTTTGCTTAGTTTAGTGGTTAGTTAAGTGTTGTGACCCTTAATTCTTCATGTTGTGGTGACCTCCAACCATAAAATTATCTTCATTGCTAGTTCGTAGCTAATTTTGCTACTGTTATGAATTGTAATGTAAATATCTGTGCTTCTGGATGATCTTAGGTGACCCCTGTGAAACTGTTGCAACCCACAGGTTGAGAACCAGTTAGCTTACCTAATTATGCTACCACTTTGTTTATGCTCACCAGCTGAAACTGGCCATTGGGAAATAATCAGTTTTCACAATGAGTTTGTTTGTTTTGTGTTTAATTTGTGTGTGCATACATTTGATATGTGATGTGCAAACGTTAAGGATTTTCTGATGGTGATCATATACCTGACTGATCTAAGCTTTGTAGCTTTTACTACATCAGAGATTGAAAAAAAACATGGTTTTTTGTTTGTTTTGTTGTAGTGCTTTGGTGTGGTTTTGCCCACTTTATTTTTTGACCCTCTATGTTTGGTGCTATTTATATAACTTAATGCAATTTAAATACGTAAAATACAATTTGCTAAAGTCTTTTCAAGTTGGCAACTTCTTCCAGAATTGCTGATGATGCCTGAGCTTGGAAGAAATAGGACTTTGATATGTATAGGTAATCTGAACTCCAAAGAGCATACTAGAACTTGAGTATCACCACAGCTTTGGTTTAAGAAGTGTAAGATTTGTTTCACAGAACACACCACCAAAACACACATACCTTCCTCACTGTTAATTTCCTTACTAGCCTCAAACTTGCCAAATGTTTTGCCAAATCATTTTGCAGTACTATTAGTTATGGCTTTTGTTGCCCCTGTATATCTAGGTGCATGCAAATGAATAGAATACCTATATGCATATGTATATATAAAGCCCTTATTGGCTAGCAGTTTTGTTTGGAGACTTGGTTTCTTTGCTTTATTTTAGGACATTTAAACACATATTCGTGTGTGATTTAATAAAAGGCAAGGAAATGAAAATGTGTTCAGGAAATTTTATTTACAATTGACCTTTGGTACCTTTGCTAAGGACTCCCGGAAGACACCAAATCCAAGATGCTTGAGTCCCCTAGGTAAAATGGTATAGTATTTGCATAGAATACATATGTAGGCTTCCTTATAGGGTAAGCCATTTGTTGATTACCTAAGATGCCTGAAACAATGTAAAACTTTGTGTCATGTAAGGGTGAGAAGAGAGAGTCTATTCCTGTTCAGAACAGACACAGGCATTGCAGACCTAACTACATAGCACAGGCAGCAACAGTTGAACTATTTTGATATAAAAACTTAATTTGGTTGGCTGAGTATAGTGGTATACCCACAAGTTTTGTTTCTGATACAATCATTTCAAAACAACCCATAGTAAATTTTCTGTTGATAAATAAGCTCTCTCTCCTCCTCATCTTCCTCCTCCCCCCCCCCCCACTTTCTAAAAAGCTAGTCTCTCTACTCCCCCCCCTCCCCATTTCTAAAAAGTTATAGTTCTGGCTGGGAAAATAGCTCACAATGTACAAATGATGGCTGTATAAGCCAAATCACATGATTTATTTCCTTGGAAAACATACATACATGTACACAACAGACTGATAACTGTGGTTTGCTTTTGTAATCACAGTATTTCTGCATGGAGATGAGTTGGGGAAGGTAGACAGGTCCCGAAGCTTGCGGGCCAGGAGGCCTGAGTATGAAGTACTGAGAGTCCCATAACTGGGCAGACCCTGCCTCAAGGGGGAGGTAAAAAACTGATTTCTGAACAGTCTCTTCTGAGCTGTACTCACATGTCCTTATTCACACACTCATACAGGTGCATACCATATGCAAACACAGGCATACCTACAAAATAACTTGTTTTAGGTTAGCCTTGGTGAGAAGGGCTTCACATGAATTGAAATACTGATAATTATTTCTAAAGAGAACAATTATAAATTCTTATAAATATATTTACCCTTTTAAACATTATGGTGGGAAGAAGAAATATCATTTACATATAATTTCATGAAAAATTCTAAATATATCTATTACTGCTGATTAAGTCAATAATTAGAACCGTTCCCCTGCTCCTGGCCTCATTTTCCACGTGTGTTTTGCATCACCTCTAACCCCACCCTGCTTTCATTTTTGTATTTTTGTGGCAGTAGTTGCAGCTTTACCCAGAAGCTTGCCAATTCTAGTGCATCAGATTTGCCATTTTTTTTTTCCTGTCGTTCTGAATAAGGGGAGACTCTCTGTAGTCTATGAAAACAGGTTAAATGTCTCTTGCATCAGGCAGGGTTGATCTAGGATTAAACAATATGTCTTCATTTCATAGTCCACAGTGGAGAACAAAAAGGTTTCTATTGATGTAAAAGCTTGGAGCTTCTAACGTGACAAGGATCATTCCTTTTCATATGTTGGCTCGAGCATGTCACATAACCAAAAGTCAGTTGATTACAGTTCTAAATTCCACAAGGGAAATGCTGCAGATTACATGGCATTAGGTGTAAAGAAAGAGAGAGACTTCTTCATCGTGTGATATAATTCATCAGGTGTTTGTGATATAGTTTAGTTTCACTTGGTTAATGTAAGTTGACCTTTTTAC